ACCACCCCTGGTGTTCACTCTGGCCCCTAATGGTGGGTACCAGATGGCTCACAGCAATATCTGCCTGCTCCAGGAGAAACTTGCCTCAGGAATCACAGCCAGAGCAATGCCAGAGCTGTGCACGCCCTGCCCCACACCAACCTCCCTTCTTGTCCCCGACGTGCTCAAGGGGACCCTGTGCCAGAGAGCTCTCGCAGCCCCATAGAGGGCCTGGAGCCCATGGGAGCCCCGCCGTGGGACTCTGCCACAGGAAGGGATCCCGCCCGGAGTGGGAGTTTGGAATGGCCAAACTGTGTCACCGAGTGCGGGGACGCCCTTCCCCTTTCCGGCGCGGGGCCCGGGCCCCCCGCGCAGCAGGCGGGGGCCGCCCCCTCCCCGCACACACCTCGGCCGGCCACAGCGGCGGAGCAGTGGCCCCGGGGGACCCTCCCCTGAATGCACAGAGCGTTGGAACAAGCCCCCTTTGTCTGCCGAGCACACGCGGCGGCGGCGCGGCCGGAGGAGCGCGGGGGCCGGCACCCCGCGGCCCGCAAGGACCACTTCCCCCCTTCTCAGCAGCGGTGGGGAACATCCCCTGGCCCTCCCGTCCCCTCCTCCGGCAGCTAGCGAACCCGCGGGGACCCACCGCCCCGAGGAGCCCGGCAGCCGGTCGGGGCGCGGGCAGCTGCCCCTCCGCCCCCGGCTCTCGCCCGCCGGCGGTGCCACCCCAGGGCGCAGGGCTGGGACCGGAGCCGCTTTTCCAGCTCCCCCAGCCAGACCGCGCTGCCCGCGTCCCGCCGAGGGCGTGGGGCGGCCCGGGGGCGCAACCAGCCCGGCTCGGGGCAGGGAGCAGCCCCGGGGCCGCCAGCCCGGCCCGCCGCACCCCGGCCCGGCAGGATGGTGGCACCGGGCGGGCAGGCGGCCAAACCGCCCGGCGACAGGGGCCCGTCCGGGCACCGCGGAGAGGCGGCTGCTGGGGCTTCCCCGGCCGCTGCCCGGCTCCCTGCCGGTCTCGCCGCAGGGCGATGCGGCCGGCGGGGGCCGGGAATCGGTGACCCCCTGTGCGGCGAGACACCGCAGCCGTGGAGGTCACCCTCACCCCGCACTTCCAGCTGCAGTCGGGCCCCGCACCCCGGCGTCCGCCCCGTCCCGGGCAAGGTCCTGCCCCTGCGTTCCAGGGGTGCCCGGGGCGCGACGGGACGGACTTTGGTCCCCCACACCGTGCCCCTCAACGTCCCCGTAGAGCCCGGTCCCGGGGGCGCCGGGGGCGCAGCACCGACGGGTGGGCACACGAAGGGGGGCTGACCTCCCCCGGCTACGCCCCGCGGGACGGCACCGGCGAGGACCCGGGGGGGGGGGGGGGGGAAGGGGCGGGGGCCGCCCCCGACGCCAGCCCAACGGATGTGCCAGAGGAATTTCTTCCTGCCGCCGGGCCCGGGCTGTCCCTCCGCCCCCCTCGCTCCCGCTCTCCCCCCGCGTCTCTGAGCGGCGGGTCGCGGGGTTCGTGGGTGCGGAGCGGCCGCCCCCGCCCCGGCACGCCGGGACACGCGACCCCGCGCCCGGGGCTCCCCGCACCTCCCGACGCCGCCGCGCCCCGGGGTGTCCCCCCTCCCGCCTCCCGCGCCCCGCCACGGGCGGGAGGCCCGTGTCGGGGGGATGCCGCGGAGCCCACGCGGGACGGCGCCGGCGGTGCCTACCTTGGAGACGATGAGGGGCTCGCCGTGCTCCAGCCCGCCGCGCAGCGTGAAGCCCCAGGGCGCGCCCCCCTGCAGCTGCACATGCACGTACTGGGGGGCGCCGGGCCGGCCCTCGGCCCGCTCCATGGCGGCTACAAACTACAGCCCCATCCCATCCCGGCCCGGCCCCGCGCCGCGGAGGAAATGACACCCCCGCCCGCCCGGGCTGAGCGGCGCGGGGCGAGTGCGGGGCGGGGCCGACCCGCACCGGGGCTGCTCCGCCGCCGCCAATAAGGCGCGGAGGGACGGCGGCGGCCGGCCCTGCTCGGCACGGCATTGCCATGACATGGCTTGGCTTGGCATGGCTTGGCATTGCCATGGCACGGCTTGGTGTTGCCATGGTACAGCTCAGCATAGCGCGGCACAGCTCGGCGTGGCACGGCTTGGCTTAGCACAGCTCATGGCATGGCTCAGCGTGCAGTGGCACAGCGCAGCACCTTGCTACTAAGCTCAGCTTGGCTTGGCACGCCACCCTTTAGCCCAGGGATCTGCAGTGAGCTGCTTGGCTCAGCTTGGCACGGCCCAGCCGGTGTAGTTCAACTCTGTCCAGCTCAGCCCAGCATGGCATGACATGGAGTGCTGGCACAGTTCAGTGCAGAACAATACAGCACAGCTCAGCTCAGTGTGGGATGACAGGGGAGTCAGCATGGCTCAGCCCACCATGGCTCAGTGCAGCTCAGCTGGGTTGGCACATTCTGGCTTGGCTCAGCTCAGCTCAGCACTGCACAACACAGGGATGAAACGGTTCAGTTTGGTACAGCACAGCATGACCAGGGGCCTCGCCTGGTTTAGCTCCATTTGGCCTGACCCAGTTTTGCTCAGTTTAGTTTAGCTTGGGCTGACGTGGACAAGCAGGCCTGGCACAATTCGGCTTGGCACAGCATGGCCTGGCACAGTTCAGCTCAGAACAACCCAGTTTGGCCCAGCACAGTATGGTGCCGCCAGGGACTCACAGCATTAGGGCCAGCTCAGCACAGCTTAGCCTGGCACGGTGGCACAGTGTGTCTGGCAGTTCGGCAGCACTCACGTGGGTGCAAGGGGGTGGCAGTAAGTGATGCAGCCCCCCCAGCTCCCCGCCCTGCAGTCACGCTGGCGCCCCGAGCTCTCCTGCCTGCGGGCCAGCACATGCTGCTGGCTCCTGTCTGGCCTGCCCATGCTGGCCCACGCCCTGTCCCTGTCCTGCCGGGCACCTCAGGGCACGTGTGGCAGTGTGGCCCTGCTTCACCTTTGTCTTTTCCCTGCCAGGCCCAGGAGGGGCAGCTGTGCCAGCCTTTGGGGAAACTGAGACGGGGAAGGAGGAGGCAGTGGCAGCTGAGGGCGGTGGGAGTGGATCAGCAGTGGTTCCCGGGGGAGCCCGGGAGTCCTGCCCCTCCCCTTCCCGCCCGGGGCCACGGCTCTTACTCATCTCTTTCCCAGACAGCACAGCCGGCCTGGAAAGCTCTGCCCTGCCAGCAATGCCTGCGGCCCCCAGTTGCCTGCCATGGCCTGGGAGGGTGGGCTTGCAGTGCCAGGCTGATGGGCCACCACAGGCTGGCTCAGCCCCAGTGCAGGAACCCTCGAACTTTTCTTGGCAACCCTCATCTACCAGCGCCTGCCTTAAATTCTGTCTGCACCCTGCCCAGCCTGGCTGCAGGCAGCCCCGTGCATGTGCCCTGTTCCTGTACCAGGGTGTCCCACGGCACAGAGTGGGGTTGTACCTGGGCTATTTGTGGTGCTGGAGCCCACCCAGCAGTGATGCATGGCCCCTCTCATATGGCCACCCACGTGACATCAGTCATGTCCACCCCTGACGTGACTCTCCTGCTCTCCCCCATGGCCTTGCCACCACCCTTACCATGCCCCTCTCTCATGGCTGGCTGATGCCATGCCTGGACTTTTCCCAGCCTCCACTGGCTTGTCTGCCCCTTGTGCCCTTTCCCAAATGAGTAACCAGGGCTGCCTGGCCAGGCGTGAGGGCTCTGTGCCCTGGCTCATCACGTGGCCCCACAGCCCATTAAGCACCACACACATCTCCCACTACACCCCCACCACAGCCCTCAGCGCCGTGCTCAATTGGCACCGTGAAGGGTGGGCAGCATCTGGGGCAAGGCAGGCACCAGCACAGCCCCCAGCTCCCTCCATGTCCCTATGCCTGCACCCAAACAGGGTGGTTCCCAAACCACCAGTGTGACCATCCCCTGAACCCCTCCATCCCAGCTGGAGAGCAGCAATGTCCTATGGGACTGGGCACAACGCCAGTTGCCCTATGGGGGCATGGGCTGCAGCTGCCCATACCCCACTCTGCAGTGTGCCCATGGGGCCTGTCCCAGGCAAGCACTGTGTAACCACAGTCCCCAGGATGGACAGTGCCTCAAATGGCCCATGCCAGCAAGATGGTGAGCATCACACTCACAGTCCCTCAGCCTTGGGCAGGTGCTGGCAACAAGACCTTGAAGCTGGTCGAGGAAGCCAAAGCTGTGGGCATGGTGATGGTGATGGCACGGTGATGGTGATGACATGGTGATGTCTGCAATGAAGTACTGCTGGCTGACCCAGCCCTACTCAGAGCTGCTGGGCTCAAGGTCGCTCTGCCCACCTGTGTGCCTTAGTATACATCTCCCAGCTGGGGAGAGTGAGGCACTGGGCAGCCTGGCTGTCCTGCAGGGCTGTTGGGGAGCAGCCCCCCAGGCTCTGTGCCTGCTTGGGGCAGTGTAGACCAGCTTGCAGCAACGGGCACAAAGGTGCCAAGCTGCTGATGGAGAGTCAGCACAGGGTGGGGGAGCTGGAGGGGCTCTCACCTCAGCAGAGCACTCTGCCAGACTCCAGCCCCCCTCCCCTGAGCCCCAGGTTGCTCCTGCCTCTTTAAACCCTGATTGGGGCCATGCCTTTAAAATGGGCCCTGGGCAGGTGGACCTCCTACCCTGCAGGAGGAGGCTGGCCAGGAGCAGGTGGGCTGAGTGAGCTGGTCTTCCCACCTACCCCACTTCACCTTCCCTCCACCCCACTTCCCTACCCCAGCACTTTTACAGGCCCTGTAGCCAGGCTCTGTCCCCCTGCCTTTGCCCCTGGTCTAGGTTTTAGTCTAGAATTTGCACCCCTTTTGCATACAGAGTTGCCCCCCACCTTTCTGCTCCTGTGCCAAGCTGAAGCAGCTGGCATGGTTGTCCTGGCTTGATAGCAGCTGGCAGCACCCTTGGATCCTTTTGCTGGTGCCCACAACCAGCTCTGCCTCTCCACTGGGGAGAAGCATGACTACAGGTTCTTCCTAATTCTGCTGCTGACCAGCCCCACCTTGCCCCGCTCACCCCCCTCAAACACGCACTCACCCATCATGGCATTGCTCTTCTCCTCCACCAGCCTCCTCCTCCTCCTCCTTCTTGTTGTGCCCCTGTCCCAGGCTGCAAACAAGTCCCCGCTGCCCCCCAGCCCCCTGCCCGCCGTCCCCACCCTGCCCCTCCTGCAGGCCCTGCAAATGCAGGCACCTGGCAGCCCAGGCTGGCGAGTGGGGCCAGCCAGTGGGCAGCCCCTGCGCTACATGCTGAACCTGTACCGCCGTGCTGCCGACCGCGAGGGCCGACCCCGCCGCGGCCGCAGCCTGGGCACCAACACCGTTCGCCTGGTCCAGGCCAGTTCCCATGGGGATCAGCCCTGGGCAGGTAAGGAGCAGGTGGGCACCAAGGATGTCACGGAGGCCTAGCAAAGCCAGCAGTGTGGGCTTGAGCCCTGAAGGGGTCTCTTTCCCGTTTCCTTCCCCCCCTCTGTAGTGTCCTGGCTGGCTGGCTGGGGTTGCCCTTGCCCAGGGGGTTCCCCTTGGCAGGTGTCCCAGGGGTGAGATGGGCAAAAATATCACTGGGCCTGTGTGCCCCTCTCCCCTTCCCATCCTGCCTGATGCTGTGCCAGGGCAGTGGTGTTGGTGCAGAGGATGGGAGTGTTCCAGACTCTCTTTGCCCTTCACACCACCAGCAAGCCATGGCTCATGGCTGCTGTTTGCTGTGGCTTCTGCCTTGTGCTGGGGCAGATGGCTGCCCCGGGCTCTGCTGTGCTGTGTGGGGCTGGGAGAAAGGGGTGCTGCTGCATGGTGACAGCTGTGCTGTGCTAAGGGGGCACTGACCACTGCTTTCCTGCAGGTCGCTGGTATGTGCAGCCCCTCACCTACGGCCTGGAGGGCCAGCCCGAGGCCGAGCACCTCCTCAGAGCCACTGTGGTCTACCTGCCCAGTCTGTCACTGGCACATGGTCGCCTTCTCTGTGCTCTGGAGCTGGTGGCAGCCGGCGAGGCACCTGGGGTGCTGCTCAGCCCTGCTGCCCGTCCCCGCCATGGCTGGGCTGAAGTTGATGTCACCCCTTACCTGGTCCTGGGGAACAGCAGCATGAGGAGCCTGGCACTGCGGCATGTCTGTGTGCATGCTGGCCGAGCAGGAGGCCACGATGCCCCAGTGTCCCCCAGTCGCCCTTTCCTCCTGCTCTACCTTAACGACACCCAGGCAGGGTTGGCACCTCTGGCAGCAGAGCCCCACCGGCACCGGCGTGACACAGGGACGTTGGCTCATGACCTGCCCAACTACCTGCGGGAGCAGGGAGAGGAGAAGAGTGACTGTTCCCTGCGCCCCTTCTCTGTCAGCTTTGCACAGCTGGGCTGGGACCACTGGATCATCGCTCCCCACCGCTACAACCCGCGCTACTGCAAGGGCGCCTGCCCCCACCTGCTCCGCTACGACTACCACGCGCCCAACCACGCTGTGGTGCAGAGCTTTGTTCATCAGCTGGTGGATGCCAACGTGCCCCGGCCCTCCTGTGTGCCCTACCGCTACAGCCCCATCAGTGTCCTCATGATCGAGCGCAACGGAGGCATCCTTTACAAGGAGTATGAGAACATGATCGCAGAGTCCTGCACCTGCCGGTAATTCCCACTGCCCCGGCACAGCACCCCTGGGCTCTGCCTGTTCCTGTGCATATGGACTTTAAGGTTTATCTTGCTCTGCCTGGGGCTCACTCTGCTCGTCTCCCCTCCCTGCGCAGCGCTGCTCTGTGGGGAGGTTTTACAATGACAGTTTTATGTAAATTGTGGGTTTTTAAAGGCAGGAGCCTATGCTGGGGGTTGGTTGCCCCATGGCATCTGTCCTTCCTGCAGCCCCCATGGCTGCTGCCTGGTTTTGGTGGGCAGGGGGGCTTGGCCTGATATTCCCAGAGATGAGCTGTGTCCCTGAACTGGAATACGAAGCTCACAGGAGGTGGCTGGGAGTCTCCTGGTGGAGCCAGGGCAGGGAGGGCGAGCAGTCCGTGTGCCTCTGTGCTTGGCACCACATTGGTGCTGTTGGGATCTGATGTGACCCTGCCTGTGGAATTCCTTCCCAGCTCACATGCACCCCATCTTGTCTGGTCTCAGCTGCAGCGGCATCTCACTGGGCTGGGAATTTGGGCTGGAGAAGGGGAGGAAGCCTTTCTCCTCCCCTGCAGTTCTGTTCTGGGGAGGGCTGTGAAACTGGAGGAACTCGAGCTGCCTTTTCTGCTCCCAGTGCTAGGGGCCAGGCAGCTGCCTGTGCTGGGCTCTGCCTCCTGCTTCCTCCAACACACTTGTCCTTCAGCTCCTTGGCTTGCCCTCTAGCAGGGCTCAGGTCTTGCCCTATTCCAGGGGTCGGACTCCCATCGTGGTGTCCCTCTGCCTTCTTGCACTCCTGCTGTCCCACAGGCCTTGGGCTCTGTTGGGCTCCTGGCATGTCCCTGTTCCCAGAAGGGTCTGTCCTGCTCTTAGCACCTCCACTGCCTGACTTTCCTCTATTTATTGCTTGACTGTGAATAAATAAATTGATGGATTTTGCTAAAGGCCATCTTGGCTTGTTCTTGCATTGTCCCTTGGGTGCAGCAGGTGCCTCCTGGGACAGGCTGCCCTTGTGCTTGCACTACAGGGGGGTGGGTGCAGGGGTAAATCCCAGCTGGTTCAAGCTGGAGCTGTGAGAAGTGGCTCCCCTGGAGCACAGACCTATCCCAGGGCAGAGGGGACCAGATGTGGCTGCAGGCAGCTGTCTCCATGGGGCTGGGAACAAGAGATGCCCACATCCCCCTGTATGGGGCAAGTCCTGGGGGACTTGGGTGGGGGGGGACAATGAGCTGCATCTCCCTGGGCTGTCTGTTGCTGTGGCTAAAGCATTTGTATGCCAGGGCTATTTTGGGAAGGTGTCTGCAGGCAAACCTGCCTGTTGCTGGTGTGATTCCCTGTGTTTGCAGTTTGTCTTTGAGCAGCAAGGCATATGTGGCAGCTGTCAGCCTTATCACCAGAGCTTGGTGGCACTGCCACCTACCAGCTGGGTGCTGTCTCTGCATCCTCAGCTCGTGGCTCTTGCCAGGGTCTCTTCTTGCTTGGCATCCAGCCCCATATGTTATTGCTGGCCCAAGCTCCATGGGGATGTTTCAGCAGTTTTTTTTTCCTGTGGGTGTTTGCTGTTGGGCAGGGTGCTATCAGTTCAAACCCCTCCCCTTCCCGTCAGCCTTGAAGTTTCTCTCCCATCCTGGCAGAGCAAGAAGCCACAGAGATCCACACTCCTTTCCTGCCCCTGTCCCCAGTTAGCTACATATTGGTCATGGGTGGAGAATATCTTCTGCTTTTTTGGAAGCTCACAGACTTGACCCCAGGGGAATAGATTTCCCCTTGTCAATCATTAAGTGTGTGGTGTTGAATCATTCAGGCAAAGTGAGGATGAAAGGCATGGAGCTGGGCATGATCCCAACCCTGGACACCCTTGGATACCAGTGCCTGGTGCTGCCCCTGCCTGGGACCCATACCCTTGCCTGCTGCCAGGCCCCCTTGGACCTGCTGGGTGCACGGAGATGGATGAGCACTGGAGTTTGTCTGTCCCAGCTCTGTGCCCTCGGATGCACTGTGCCAATGGAATCTTGTGCCTGTTGGGCTGGGCCCTTTCTCCAGGTACCCCCGGGTGCCCAGAGGCTGCTCCAGCAGTGGGATCTCCTCCGTGCTGGTGGTGGGGCAGGTCACAGGGATGGAGGAGCAGTAGTTCAGGAAAGAGCCACTGCCCCCAGCTGACCCTGACACTGTGCCCACGACAGTGCCAGGGCTGTCAGGGCAGAGGCAGGTGGAGGGGGCAGGGACCCTGGCCTGCTATCCTCGTGCACCTTTCAGAGGAAATCTTCCTGCGGATCCCACAGTCATGTGAGGCCCTTGGACACAGCCTGGCATCCCATCAATGCCAGACCTGTGGGAAGCATCAGGAGTCCTGGCTTTGGGGACACACCCAACCCACTCTCAGGCAGGGGTCTTGCCTGTGGAGCTGCTGCCTGCACAGGGGGCTGCAGTGGCCCCTTGCTCTCCTCCAGGTTAGCCAATATATCCCTGTCCCCTTCTTCCCTGATCACAGCTCTTTCCCCTATCCCAAACGCCATGCTGGGACTTTGCTCTGTTTCCACAGGGTACCCATTCACTATTCCTCCTGCTGCCCCCCCAAGTAGGCATGATCACCTCACACCCCTCATCCTCTGGGCTGACATTGGACAAGAGCCCCATGTGCTCTTGCAGGGCTGGGGCAAATCTGGGCCAGGCACAGCAAGGGGGCACCAGGATGGAGCTCCCCCAGCTGTGGAGAGCAGCTGCCCCCCAGCAACCCTACTGGGGGCTGTAGCTGGAGGTAAACGGTGATGCCCAGGCTCCAGACGCCCCACAGGTAACGCTGCAGAGCTGCTGGCAGCCCCCAGCTGGGGTGGGGGGTAACAAGGGACCGTGTCTCCATCCGTGTGTCCATATGGTCCTGCACCAGTGCGTGTGTCCGTCTGGGTGTCTGTGCAGTTCCACACCGGTCCATGTGTCCGTTCCACACTGGCACACATGTGCATGAATCCACGTGTCCATGTGTCTGTCCAGGTATCCATGTGTTTGTGTATCCGCATGTCTGTGTGTCCATATATCCGTGTGTCTGCACGTCTGTGTATCCATGTGTTTGCATATCTGTGTGTCTGCATGTCTGTCCATGTATCTATGTGTCCATCCATCTGTCTGTGTATCCGCATATCCATCTGCTGGATGTCTGTGCATGTGTGTGTCTGTCCGTGTATCTATATGTCTCTGTATCTGCATGTCCCCATGTCCATGTGTCCCCATATCTGTGTGTCCATGTATCTGTGTCCTCATGTCCATCTCTGTATCCGCATGTCCATGTGTCCGTGTATCCTAGTGTCTGTGTCCATGCATCCGTGTGACTGTGCATCCATGTGTCCGCCTGTCTGTCCGTGTACCTGCACGTCTGTGTGTCCGCGTATCCCCGTGTGTCCGTGTGTGTCTATGTGCCTGTGCGTCCACACGTCCATGTGTCCGTGTATCCATGTATCCTTGTGTCCGCACGTCCATGTGTCTGTGTATCCGTGTATCCGTGTGTCTGCATGTCCATGTGTCCGTGTATCCATGTATCCGTGTGTCCGTCTGTCCATGTGTCCACGTATCCGCGTGTCCACGTGTCCGTCTGTGTATTCGTGTGTCCGTGTGTCCCCGAGTCCGTGTCCCCGTGTCCCCGAGTGTCCCCGAGTGTCCCCGTGTCCGCCCGCAGCGCTGCTCGCCCTCCGCCCTGCAGGGGGCGCGGCCGCGGCGGTGCGGTGCCGGTGCGGTATCGGTGCGGTGCCGGGGCGGTGCCGGGGCGGTGACGGTGCGGTATCGGTGCGGTATCGGTGCGGTGCCGGGGCGGTGCCGGGGCGGTGCCGGTGCGGTGCCGGTGCGGTATCGGTGCGGTGCTGGTGCGGTGCCGGCGGTGCCGCGATGGCGGCGGGTCCTGCCCGCTCCGTAGTGAGCGCCCCGCGGGTCGAGGCCGCCGCGGGCGGGGACTGCGGGGCAGCGCGGGCGGGGCGGCCGCTCTGGGGGCGCGGCGGTGCTCGGGCAGCGCTGCGGGCGGCAGCGAGCGGGCGGTGCCGCGGGGCGGAGCGGGGCGGGGCGCTGCCAGGACTCGTCCCGCCCCGTCCCGTCCCGGCAGTGCCGGTGCCGGTGCCGGTCCCGCCGCCGCCATCGCCATGAGGAGCCGGAGCAACTCGGGCGTGCGCCTGGACGGCTATGGGCGCCTGGTGCAGCAGACCATCCTCTGCCACCAGGTGCGGGCACTGCCCGGGAGCGGGGGGGGAGCCCGCGGGGGAGCCCGGGCCGGGGAGTGACCTGGGAACGGTGTGTCCCCTCCGCAGGACGCGGTGACGGGGCTGCTCCCCGCCAGCGGCGACCACCGGGACGCCTGGGTCCGGGACAACGTGTACAGCATCCTGGCGGTCTGGGGGCTCGGCCTGGCCTACCGCAAGAATGCCGACCGCGACGAGGACAAGGCCAAGGCCTACGAGATGGAGCAGGTCGGAGGGAGCAGGGCCCGGGCGGCGCTGGGGGCACCCGGGGGCTGCCGCCACTTCGGGCGGGTCAGCCTTTGGCACAGCCGGGCCAGGGGCCCGAAGACCGCGGGGGGCCGTGCAGTGAGGGTGAGGACAGGGCTGTCCCCCGGCGCAGGAGGCGATAGGAAGGGATGTCAGAGCCTGCTCTTCCCAGGGCACCCTGGAGCCCAGCCAGAGGGTCCGTCCCTTTGGCTCCGGGGTGATCTGGGGCCACAGCCCTTCTCCCAGGGGCTGGGGAGCCGTGTCCTGCAGCTGTGCCCTCTGTCCCGCTGCACAGCACAGCAGCTTGGCCCCGCTGGCAGGCCAAGAAACCTTCCCTCTGCTGTTGCCCTGGGAGCAGAGGCTGTAGAAATGTGAGCTGGAGCTCCGATTACAGGCGCCGAGCCCTGCAAAGGTCATCGGCCAACTGAGCCTGAGTCAGGGCTTCTGGCGATTAACAGGGCTGTTTTCCTTGTTCCTGCAGAGCGTGGTGAAGCTGATGCGGGGACTGCTCCAGTGCATGATGAGACAGGTAGGGTCTGGGGAGCACCTTTTCGTGTAAAGTGGTTTCCTTAAAGCCCAGCTGTGCCACAGAGACTGTCAATCCTGATTGTACCAGCTCTCCCCAGCCTCCCCTTCCAGCAAGTCTTGAAATAAGTTCTGAGTAAGCAGCTGTGATTGAAGTTCCAGTGCTGTGGGCTGGTAGCCAGTGGAGCCTTTGCCAGCTGCTGCCTGTCTCACGGCCTGGCTGGCAGCAGGACTCTGCAACTCTCCTTCCTGAGGGCATTTGGGGTGACCCTTTTTCTCTGTGTGGTGCAGCTGTGGCATGGGCCCTCCACAGCTGCAGCCCTGCGCTGCAGTGGCCTGTGAGCCACTCACTGCCTTGGTGAGCAGAGGGGCAGGCCAGTGGCTGGGGAATTTCTACCCTGCCAGGCATGGCTCCACATGCTGGGTTCATGGCACGAGGCAGCCCTTGGCTTGGGAGATGTCAGACCTCTCTGGAGACAGGGTTCCATGAGCTCCTGCATCCTTTTGCCCTTCTCAAGGTGGACAAGGTGGAGGCCTTCAAGTACAGCCAGAGCACCAAGGACTGCCTGCATGCCAAGTATAACACCCAGACCTGTGCCACCGTGGTGGGAGACAACGAGTGGGGTCACCTACAGCTGGATGCCACCTCCCTTTACCTGCTCATGCTGGCGCAAATGACGGCCTCAGGTAATGCTGTTGGGGGCTGCCATCTCAGCTTTGGGCGTGCTGGTCTCCAGGCTCTCTAGAGCCTCAGTTTGGGTGCAGCTTCCTGGGTGCCAAGCTGCTGCAATGGCTTCCCTGACTCCACTGTTTCTTATGCTCACAGCACCTGTGGTGGGTTTGGGCCCCTTGATGTCCATTTGTCTGAAAGCCCAGTGCAGCCATAGCGGGTGGGATTGGAGGTGGGAGTCAGCCAGGACATGGCTCCCATCAGGCAGGCATGCAGTGTGGAGGAGGGATCCCTGGGTTACTGCAGCCCCATCCTGGGAGTGGGGCTTGGAGCCCTGTGGGCTTGGAGTGGCTGATGTGAATTCTTCCCCCTGCTCCAGGCCTCCACATAATTCACAGCTTGGATGAAGTCAACTTTATCCAGAACCTCGTGTTTTACATTGAAGCCGCCTACAAGACCGCGGTGGGTAGTGCATGCTGGGGAAGGGGAGCGTGCTCTGGTGCTGGAGGTGTTGGGCTGGTGTCCAGGGGCAGCTGTGGGTCACCCCTGAGCCCCACCAGCACCTCCTGGAAGCACTGCTGATGAGTGGGATTCAAAGGCTTTCTGGGTGTGTTGTGAACCAGTGCCTGCTGCCTCTGCACAGGACTTCGGGATTTGGGAGCGCGGGGACAAGACAAACCAGGGCATCACCGAGTTGAATGCCAGCTCTGTCGGCATGGCCAAGGTGAGCTGGGGAGAAGTGCTGGCTGGGGGTGGAGAGCACCAATGGCCCTGAGCTGCTTTTTGACAGGGCAGGCTGGGCATGTTGAACTATTGAGGCTCAATGTCCCATGCATTCATAGGTTCCTGGAGAGGAAGACCCTTCTCCTTGTGCACTGGGATAAAACTGTGCCCCTCTAGCCTGAGTTTTGCCTGAACTGGGAGTGAAGAGTTAATTGGTGTGGGTGGCAGAAATGTCCAGGGCCCTGTTGATGTCTGGCTACCCATGGCTTAGGGGATGTGGTCCCATTTTGACCAGAGGTGTTCTGCAGCCACAGCTCTCAGGGTTCAAATTCTTTTAAATTTGGACAGTGCATTACACACAGGGACTGGCATGGGGTGAGAGCTCTTATAGATGGGCAGCGTGGTGGAGGACATGCTTCTTTGAGTCTGCTTGCAGGCTGCCCTGGAGGCACTGGATGAGCTGGATCTCTTTGGAGCCAAGGGAGGCCCGGAGTCAGTGATACGGGTGCTGTCAGATGAGGTGCAGCACTGCCAGGTGAGACCACTGCGGGAGGAACTGTGATCTGCTGGGGTTGTGGTGTGAACGATGCCTGGCCTGGCAACCTAACCACCCCTCATTCTCCTCTGCCCAGTCCATCCTTCACTCAATGCTGCCCAGGGCCTCCACATCCAAGGAGGTGGATGCCAGCGTGCTCTCTGTCATCTCCTACCCAGCATTTGCTGTGGAGGACAGCGAGCTGGTGGAAATCACCAAGCAGGAGATCATCACGAAGCTGCAGGTGAGTGGTTCTGCCCTCATCTCACTATTCCCAGGGGGCAGCTGCAGTCCAAACTGTTGTAGCCCTTTTCTTCCCAAAAACATCCCTGGGGAGGGAGTGCTGGATGATGTCCTCTCCCAGTCTCCATGTGCAAAGAGGCAGCCCTGTGTCGGGTGGCCCTGGGTTGTGATTGTGGTGCCTGAGTGCTGGATGAGCAAGAGAAGGGGGTGTTTGGCTGGAGGAGACACCTCACCTGTGCTTCTGGATTGAAGGTATGAGATGCCTCAAGCTGTGCCTCCTGCTTGGCATCTCTTTCCCTCCCTTCCAGGGACGCTATGGCTGCTGCCGCTTCCTCCGGGATGGATACAGGACCCCCAAAGAGGTGAGTGTCCCTAGCCCTGCCAGCAGCAGCCCCCTGCATGCAGCACAAAGGCTGTCTTGGGGAGCACTGGGAAGACAAGAGCCCTCACTAACCCCAGGCGGTGTCATGGGTCTGGGCAAGGCTTCCCAAAATGCCAGAGCTCATTGCAGAGGTGGTGCGTTCCACCCATGCCCATAGCAGATGGCCAGAGGCTGGCTCTGCCTCCATCCTGGGACCTTGTGGTGTGTCTCCCTTGGGCTGGGGGAAGGTGGGACCAGTGCCCTGCATGGGAGCCCTGATGAGGTGGGCTCTCCCAGGGCTGCACCAGCCCTGAGCTAGGGCTGGAGGCCTGGGGAGGTGACCACACAGCTCCTCATCTGCTTCAGCTCCAGAGGTCACAAAGCTGCTTCTGCCTCTCCCAGGCCAGCAGGCAGCTTGGGTACTGCCATAGTGGCTCTCAGGATACTTTCCGTTGCTGCTCAGGGGAGGGAAAAATGGAAAACCTTATAAGCAACAATCTCATTTGATAACTGCTGAACTAGGAAATGGTACCTGAAGGCTCTTAAATCATCACCAGCTTCTGGGCCCATAGCCTGATGGGGCTCCTTTGGGCACAAGTGCCTCTGAATGCTTCTTGGCTCTGCCTCTGCAGACCTGCCCATAATAGGCAGCGTGTGTGGCTGCCCCCTTCCAGAGCCAAAGAAAAGCAGCAGCATCTCCAGTCCAACGTTCCCAACACTTGTGAGCTTTACCAGTGTGCCAAGCCATGGATTACTTCTGGAGAACTGTGAGGCACAGGAAGGGCAGCAGTGCCTGCAGGGGCATGCAGCTGCCTGTAGTCAGATGGGACTTTGGGAGCTTGTAGCTGGAATGCAGGCACTGTAGAAAACGTCTGTTCCTTCTGTCCTCTCTGCCTAACAGTCTGCTAAGGCCAGCACTCTTCCTTCTGTGCAGCAAACAGAGCTAGAGCAGTTAGGAGGGAGGGTCGAGCATAGGTACAGCACACACAGCTGCACTGGACTGGCAGATCTCCATCCTGACAACTTCCCTTGTGTCAGCTGCCCTACATGGCAGGAGGGACTCTGCTCTCTGGCCCTGCACAACCAGCCCAAGCACCTGGCTGGGCCAGCTTGATGATGCTGGAGGAGACAGATGCTGATGGGCTGGGGCAGAGCAGGCAAGGCAAAGGGGACCCAGTGTGGCACAGGGGATTTTGTGCTGTTACTGTACAACAGCACAGCGTCTGGGGTGTTCTGGGGGCTCTGGGGTGCTCTCCTGGGAACTGGGTAGACTCCAGGAAGGGCAAGTCTCTTAATCCTCCGTGCAGGGGGCTTGGGAGGGGGGTGTCTGGAGGTGAAACTGCTTCTCTGCTCTGTCTTGGCCATTGTCTGCAGAGGAGGGGTGGGAGGGCATTTGAGGCCAAGGTCTTGGCAGGAGAAGGAGCCCTGTCAGTTTGAGGGGATCCTGTCACCCACTGTCTGCCTTGCTGTCACCTGCAGGACCCCAAACGTCTCTACTATGAACCCGCTGAGCTGAAGCTGTTTGAGAACATCGAGTGCGAGTGGCCTCTCTTCTGGGCATACTTGATGATTGATGGGATTTTCAGTGGAAACATAGAGCAGGTAAGGGGGGCAGAACCTGCTGGAGTGGTGGGAAAAAAAGTCCCTGGCAGGCGAGGTGTGCAGGAGAAGGATGCAGGGAGCCATGACCAGGAGCAGATTCTCTCTCCTCTCTCCTCAGGTGCAGGAGTACCGGGAAGCCCTTGAGGGGGTTCTCATCAAGGGGAAGAATGGGATACGCCTGATGCCAGAGCTGTACAGTGTCCCACTGGATAAGGTGAGCGATCCTGAGCTGTGGTGGAAAGAGGGAGTGTCTCACAGAACCACAAAATATTCTGAGTTGGAAGGGAGTCACAAAGTCCAACTGCTGAAACTCCTGATCTCATTACCAGATAATTAGGTTTTAAATGCTTATTAACCCCAAATGTTAGCAAAGTAGCACATACAGTGCATGGAAACCTTATGTATAAAAAGTGAGGCTTCGAGCTGTTATAAAACCATGTTGGATAAAAACTGGTGTTTTTCCCCCAAAGCATTTCTTGCCCCCATACACAAGGGTGCTGAGTGCTCTGAGAGCTCAGGACAAGTGGACCTGGGCTGAGGAGATGGTGCTGAGCTCCTGTTCAGTGGTGTGGGGTTGAGAGCAGTGGCCTCCTGGTGCCCAGGTCATGCAGGAGAGGTGCTCTCCTCACTAGCATTTGAGAGCATCTCCCCAGAGTTCTTGGGGCACGTTAGTCCTTCTAATGGCCTGAGTTGGGAAACCAAACATGGTCTGAGCAGCTGATTTGTTGTCTGATGTGGATGTCTGGGGGCAGTCACAAGAAGAGGGGAAGAATGTAGCCAGGCTGTTTTGGACCCTCTCTTGACAAATGCTGTTGTAGGCTCTTGTTTCAAGCCTTGAACTGCTGGACTTCAAAATACAGTGAAGATGCTTCCTTCAGCATCTTGTGTCTGTGGATCCCTCTTTAACCTCCTGGCTTGTCTTCCAGGTGGATGAGGAGTACAGGAACCCCCACAGTGTGGACAGAATACCCATGGGCAAGCTGCCACACATGTGGGGGCAGTCCCTCTACATCCTGGGCTGCCTGATGGCTGAGGTACAGTCGTCCTGGGTGCTGGGGAGGGCTGTGGGGCCAAGCTCTGAACTCTCAAGGGGCAAATGCTGCCACCTGCCTTGGGGAAGTTGCCACTCCCATCCCCCAGGACTTCTTAAAGGTGGGTTGTCCATAGGCATCACCCATTCTATGCTGCCCACAAAATGTTAATCTCCTCATACCATTTTTTCCTCAGGGGTTTCTGGCTCCTGGTGAAATAGATCCCCTCAACCGCCGGTTCGCGACTGTCCCTAAGCCTGATGTGGTGGTTCAAGGTGAGGGAAAGGAATACTAGTCCCATACCTCTGAGCCTGGCAGGTCTGGGGACTCTGGCAGTGCAGAATTCACAGGGGTGGCTCTGGGTGGCTCTGCCTGCTGTGTTGCTGCTGGTACCTCCCAGTCTCAGACCTGGCAAGGGGGTGGAAGATGGGGTGCAAGTCCTTCCATTCCACTCTGTGTTGACTGAGGGAAATAACAGCTGCTGTAGCATCCTCTGCAGAGGGGTTGAAAACTGTCTTCCTGCCACTTGGTGCAGAACACTTGGGTGTAGAGAGTGTTAGGAGGGGCAAGGCAGACCTCTGCAGTGGGAACTGGTTCCCAAAGGGACCCCTGACAGCTGCCTCTCTGTGGTGTGGCACCTTGTATGTGTCCTCAAAGGTATGGGGCAGTGCTGTCACACCCTTGTGCCCCTGTTGCACTGATCCTGTCCTCCTTCCACAGTGTGCATCCTGGCTGAGACAGAGGGGATCAAGGAAATCCTGAAGAAGGAGGGCATTGATGTGGAGACTGTGGAAGATGTCTACCCCATCAGAGTGCAGCCTGCCCGCATCCTCAGCCACATCTATGCCCGGCTGGGTGAGCTGGACTCCCTGCTACTGCAGCAAAGGGGGTGCAGAAGGGTCTGTCCCACCCCCTGGCACTCCTGCTCCTAGACACTCATGTCCTGCTCTCTGCCTGGCTGATGAGGGTTCTGCTGCCCATTTCTGAGCCCAGTAAAGCTACTCGTGCCCAAGGGGAACAAGGTGACAGGCAGTGTTGTTCAGGTTATTCTGACAGGGATAGAGCTTTGGCATTACAGTTGCACAGCCACCCCAGGGACAGACAGAATTTGATCCATATAGGAAAGACCTGGTGTGTACAGGAGTTGGCTTTTGTTCCTGTACCCAGATCTCCATAGGGAAGGCCAGCCAGACCTCAGGAAGGGTCCCCTGGCTGTCCCTGGTGGAGAGAGCCTGGAGCTCAGGCAGAATGGCTGTTGTTGGGGGGTGGGCAGGGCTGAGTGTCAGGGGAGGGTGTGCTCAGCTCTGCACGCATGTTCCCTGATGCTGCAACCCCTTGGGCATCAGCCTTGTTGTGCAGAGATCTAGCCTGGGCCATAGGAGACACCTGATCTGCTGTGATTTTAATTTGGTGGCTAATTTAGGCCACCAAAATGCCAAGTGTGAGATGGGCAGGGGGAACAGCCTGGCAGCTGTCAGGGCTGACATGAGCAAGGGGCGATGCTGCACTGCACCATTCTGGGCTCTGGGAGTAATCTATGAGCAATGGGAATGCTGATAGAACTGTCAGCTTTATGCAGAGGAGTACCCCCAGCCCTGTTCCAACTTCTGACATCCCCAAAAACCTGGAGGTGTGACGTGTTGCAGAAGTCAGGACAGGCTGTGTGTCCCTGTTTCAGTGTGTCTCTAGCCCCCTGGGCAGGGCTGGGGACAGAGTATCACTGTCACTTAGAGCTGTACTAGCTTGACACAGGGTTCTGGGGTATCCCACCCACAAACCAGCATTTTCCTGCTGGCTAGTAGCAAGAGGCCTGGCACTGCTTGCTGCTGCAGCCCCTTTCATTAGGAGGCTTGCACTAAAAACTCCTCTTCCTGCCCTCCCAGGCCGCAACAAGCAGATGAGCCTGACTGGACGGCCCTACCGGCACATGGGTGTCCTTGGGACCTCCAAGCTCTACAAAATCAGGAAGAGCATCTTTACCTTTACCCCACAGGTGGGTGACATTGCATGGGCTCATTCCCAGCTGTTATGTGATCTGGAACTGGGCAAGAAGTTTCTCCACTGGCTGAGTGCTCGAGTTATTCTCACGTGTGGCCCAACACCCTCTGGGAGTGTGAAGCAGCCCCAGCACTGTGGTGTGAGGCAGCCCAGTTGGTGGTTCTGGCTGTGTGCATGCTGGGAGAGGTGGTTTGAGCCTTCTGATGATCAGTATTGGGTGAAAATCTCTTTGCTCACCCTGACAAGGACACCAGGAGGAGGCCTGGATGCTGCTGCTGAGCTGTGGCATTAGTTATCTCCTCATAGTTGCTAATGGCCGGTAGCTGCCCTAGAAGTTGAGGGTTCCTTACTAGACTGTACTGGCATCTGCCAAGTAAGGTGGGATGAGCTGTCAGTGCAAAGGAGCATGTCTTCTGGGTGCACAGTGTGTCTGGCCTGGCTGAATGCCTGGGAAGATGTGAGTGGCACCATAGGGACCTGGTGGCTGTACAAAGGGCCGCTCATGTCTCCTGCTGTCCTCACAGTTCATAGACCAGCAGCAGTTCTACCTGGCTCTTGACAACAAGATGATTGTGGAGATGCTGAGGACGGACCTCTCCTATCTCTGCAGCCGCTGGAGAATGACTGGGCAACCAACCATCACCTTCCCCGTCTCCCACATCATGCTCGGTATGGATCCTCCAGCCTCACAAGGTGTTTGGCTACAGCAGCCCTGGGAAGCAGCCTCTGCAGGAGGAAGGGGATGGGCAGATCTGTGACTGCCTTAGTAATGGGGACATGGTGGGGCTGGAGCAGCCAGTAGTGTTCTGTGAAGAGCTTACCACTGAGAAGAGCCATGCCAAGTGGGCAGTTTGCCTGGCAGCTTGTGGGTTTGCCTGCCAGGCACTAGTGCCTGCAGCTCAATGGCTCCTGACAACTTGGCTTGTGGGAAGGCCTTCTGGGAGCAAGGCCAAAAAAGCAGTTCCTCTGTAGGAGTGTTCTTGGGACTCTTTCTGCATCTTGACTCTTCACTAAGACTGACCACCTGCTAAAGGCTTTCCTAGGCAACACGGAGGGGAAAACAGTAAAACAGAAGGAGCAAAGAGCTCTGGAATGGTGTAGAGCAGAACTGGCTTGCCTGCAGCAGCTCCCAGCTTCCCCATGAGGTGCAGGGAAGTGACTCTGCTCTGCTTTCAGGCCTTTTTGATTCTCCTTGTGTACTTGAAATCCCCTTGGTGTCTGGAGTGTGCCCTTTCCTATGGTGCCTCCTGCCCCTGACAGCAGCCCCCCATCTGCTGCCTCATATGAAAGGCAGGGAGAGAGCAGGGGGCTGTTGGGTGCTGTTATCTGGTACTGTCAGCTTCAGCCAAGCTGAAATCCCAGGAGCCTGGCGTGCATCTTGGCCTAGTTTTCCTGGAATTCAGCCTGGACAGTCCCGAATTTCCCTTTTTGGGTGGTGCTTTTGGTACCACAGCGTGTCTGCGTGCCCCAAACAAGGGTCCGCCCGTGCTGCTTTGGGTGCCTGAATGCCCACCTGGCCCTGGGTTACCTTCTGAGAGCCAGTTTGAGCAGAGGAGCCTGACTGCCTGTGCCTCTTGCCCACAGATGAAACCGGCAATAGTGTGCACCCCACGGTGCTGGCGATGCTGCGGAAGCTGCAGGACGGGTATTTCGGTGGCGCAAGGTGAGCGCACCCTCCTGGGGTGAGGGCTGTCAAGCCTCCAAGAGCCTGGTGAGCAGTGCATTGGCTTTGGGGAAACAGGCTGGGGAGGACACATTGGGGTGTGCTAGGCTGTCAGTGCACCCTGAGGCTACAGTCTCAACAGAGGAGATGAAAGAGCTCTTCATGTCATCAAACCCATGGCTGCAGGATCCTTCTAATATCTTTTTAGGCAGCCCTTCCATGCCCACCTGTGGCTGAAGGAGTTGCAGACAGCTAAAGCAGACACTGGTGTGCATATGCTCCTGACAGGTCCATCTCTCCCTGCCAAAGGGCCTGCCCTGGAGCCAGGAGGTAAAGCCAAAGGTACTGCCTCCCCTTTCCTCTCCCGTGTGACCTCCCCATCTCTCGCCCAGGACCCAGACGGGTAAACTGTCGGAGTTCCTGACAACGTCATGCCGAACACACCTCAGTTTTATGGACCCTGGGCCAGAGGGTAAGGTCTTTGCCGAGAGTTACAGGCTCTGCAGTGACAGCTTTGAGGAGCTGGACAGCGAGGACTGGCTGCATGGCTTGCAGGTAGCAGAGGAGGGTAAGGGAGAACAGGCCAGTCGCTGCTGTGGGGTGGCAAATGCCCAACTCACCCTTAAACTCGTAACACTCAACCTCCTGCTAGCATCCATGCACTTGGTTTTTCACCATGTTCCCATCTGACCCTCTGTCAACCTTGTCTGGAACGAGCTGCTGCGACCTTTGTAGGGAAGAGACAAAGGATTGGCAGCTTACCTCCACTGGGGAGATGTGTCTGAGGGTCTTTGGTGCACAAGTGCAGTGCAATGTGAAGGCACAGTGACCAGGGCAGTGGGGAAGAGCCACCGTGTCCCTAAGCAATTTGTCTTTTTCCCAAAGCCTTTGCCCCTCTCCTGGGCAGAGGTGCTCCGGTGGGTGCCAAATTGAAGCCTTGATGCTGTGTAGAGGGTGCCTGAGAGTGCCTTGGCCCATCACAGCATGAGGGGGACACCCCTTGTGCTGGGACCATGGTGGGGTGCAAGTTTTACTGTTCCCCTTGCAAGCAGGCCTGGGGATATCCCTTCCTGTGTGACCTAGTGCTGGTAATCTTTGGCCTTCCCACCATCTGCTGTGCCTCTGCAGCTCCTGCAGCCAGTGTCTGCACTGCTGGGACTCTGAACACTCATTTCTTTTGCCCTTCTCTTACTTTGCTTGTAGCCTCCTTAACAGGCTGCATCTGGGTTTGTCCAAGGTGTTTGCTTCCCCTCCAGCCCCAGTGGGAGAAAGAGGAAAGACCTGCCTGGCCTTTCTACGGCATCTCAAAGATGCTCAGTTTTAAGTTTTTCCTGTGGTTTTTAAGTTTTTCCTCCTGCAGCCAGGCAGGAGGATGTTCTCAAGTCTGGTGCCTAGAGGACTTCTCCAGCCAAGCCTCCAGGCACTGGCATGAGGCATTCCCTCAAGGGAATGCCAGGCTGCTTCGGGTACAGTCTGCAGCTCACCTCCTAGGGCTGACACACCTCCGAGTTTGCCAGCTGGAGAGCAGCATGGCTTTGCCCTGGCCCACTGGAAGTGCATCGTCAGTTCTGTGTTTTATCGGGGGTATCTTCCCCAGGGGGCACCCCCCTCACTTTTACCTCCCAACTGAGCAGAGACCTGGCCTCTGAGCACCTTATTCCATGCTGCTGTTAGCATGTGGTGCCTCTGGTGCTCCTGGTGTGATGCTGGGAGCAGTTGGAGCTTCTCAAGGCTGGGCAAAGAGAAGGCAGGAACCATAACTCCTCCTCTAACTCCTAATTAGAAATAACTGTTGCAAAACTCACCCTACCTTGCTTCTGTGCTGGAATCCTGCTTGGAAGATGCCCTTGCTGTGCTGGGGTGCTCCTGAGTGGTCTCTGCTTGGACAGGCTGACCGTGGCCGTGCCTCTGAAGGGAAAGAGTGGGAGGGTTTCACTGCAGGGTTTGAGTGGGACACTCCTGTCCTTGCACAGGCTTGTACCAAACACACGATGCAGCACCATGGCTTCCTTTGTCCAGACGGGACTTGGAGGGAGCCCCAGTTTGGGACCCTAGCTGTCAGCCAGTGTCCCAGGCAGCAGAGTCATGCAGGAACAGGGGTGCCCTGGCTGCAGTGCTTTGTGAGCCTGGCCGCTGGCACTGGCCCCACATTGTCGCTTTGTGTGGCCAGCAAAGCTTTGTCCTTGCCGAGGCACAGCTGGGGTCTCTCTGGCCCTGGGGGTGCCCCAGCACACAGTGGCTGAACCCCTCTCTGCTTCCTTCCCTTCCAGAGGACGCCTACGATGAGGTTGCCCAGTACCTGGACCACCTGCTGCAGCGCACGACTCCCCAGTCCAACCTGCCCCCCACTGCCCAGCGGGGAGGGCTGAGCCGCTTCCGGACTGCTGTCCATACCACCCGTGACCTCATGTCCCTGGCATCCAAGGCCAAGGACCTGAATGTCCAGAGTGAGTAACTCCAGTACCCTCCACACCTTCCCTTGAGCCCAGGGGTGAGGCTGAGGTGATCTGGGAGCTTTCCCAGCTCTGTGATGCTGAGGTCCCCATGGAGTACAGAGCAACTAACATTATGTCCATCATGTTAGTCCTGACTTCTTCTCCCATAGCTGACTTCTCTGCAGGGGCTACTGGGGGAGCAGTGTCAGATATCCATGAGGTGGTTTGGGGCAAGCAGTGGTGATTGGGCTCAGAAGTGTCTCTGTCAACTTTTGCATTTTTTTTTTTTAGATGTTGGGATGTATGTCCCCAGCAAGATCTTCCAGGCATCCCAAAAGTCGGTTAACCTGTTGGGTTCACCCTGCCAGCATGACATGGATGGCAAGGTGAGCCCTGTCCCTCCCAGACTGAGCATTGCTATCCTTTGAGGTGGAGCCAGTGTCTTTGCAGGACTGCACGAGGAAGGCTTGGTGTTTGTTGAGGGGGAATATCCACGGATGAATGTCCTTGGCTCCATTTGGGGCAGGCTGCTGGTGGTGCTAACCAGCAGCACGGGTCTCCCTTCCCCCAGAGCCATGCAGTCTATGCAGAGATGGGCCTGCCCTGTGACAAGGATGGCAACGTGGACTGCAAGGCACTGGTGGACCAGCTGCGCGTCTGCCCCACGCTGCAGGAGCAAGCAGACATCCTCTACATGCTCTACATGCTCAGGTGGGGTGAACTCTGCATCCCAACGGCTCACTGAGCAGAGAGGGGGTTGGCACAGCCCAGGGGGGCTGCTGGGGAGCTGCCAGAGACAAATTGCTGTGTATAACCCAGCACCTCCTTCACTGCAGGGGGCCCGAGTGGCACACGGGGCTTGATAGCAAGCCTGGCCCCACTGTCAAGGAGCTCCTGACTGAGCTGTATGTGCGGGTGGGGGAGACACGCCAGTGGGCCCTGATCCGCTACATCTCTGGCATCCTCAAGAAGAAGGTTGAAGCTCTGGATGAGGTAACAGCTGTGCAGCCAGCCTCTAGCGGGCTGAGGTCTGTCGGGGAGGAGGCAGCAGAGTGAGCAGGTGAACCGTGGCTGCATCAGCTCTGTCTCCCTCTGCCTTGTGCTGAGCCCCCAAACCCTCAGTTTACAATAGCTGAGGTTGACCCTTTCTGTCCCCAGGCCTGCACTGACCTCCTGTCTCACCAGAAGCAGTTGACTGTGGGGCTGCCCCCAGAGCCACGTGAAAAGACAATCTCCGCGTGAGTGTGGCCCCTCTCCCTCCACCAGCATGCTGGGCTGGATCTGGATGTGAGCCTGCTGCTCTGGGGTCCATGGGCAGGAGCGGCCCCGGCTGGCTGTCCCCAGCCTGTATCTTTCCTCTTGGGGCTGTACAGACCAGGGGCATGCAGGGCTTGCTCTGCTGCCTCTCACTTGCTCTACTGTTTGTTCATGCCCCAGCCCCGTCCCCTACGAGGAACTCGTTCACCTCATTGATGAAGCCAGTGAGAAGAACCTCAGTGTGGCCATCCTCACCCAGGTGAGGGAACAGGATATCAGGGGGGACCCCACATCTGGGTGTCTGCCATGCTGAGCAGCAGTGGGGTGATCTGCCTCTGCCCCTCCAGGAGATCATGGTGTACTTGGCCATGTACATACGCACGCAGCCTGCGCTCTTCGTGGAGATGTTCCGCCTCCGCATTGGGCTCATCATCCAGGTGATGGCAACAGAGCTGGCACACTCCCTGCGCTGCTCGGGTATGTGCGGCGGGGACGGCTCCCCGGCTGGGGTGGGTGCTGTGATGCTCGGGGCTCTGTCAGCCAGAAAGGAGTACTGTTAAAAATGGCAGCTCAGGTTAGGACAAGACCCTGCATGGAAGTGCCAGCGTCTGCAGCTGGACCTGTTCTTGGGCAGCACAGGCGAGTGATTGCACTGCAGTCTCCATCCCGGCATGTGTTGGGCTGGCATGGGCAAGAGTCCCTGTTGTAGGCGACAACTGGAGCTAGAGTATGTCTGTGGAGGATGAGCTCCTGTGCCGGTGCTGCCCCTGCTCACAGAGTGTAGTGCAGGGTAGAAATGTTCTAGGAGAACTATGAGGCAGGGTACAAAATCCCAATTCTGTTCTCTCCAGCCACAGAAGCCACAGAGAACCTGATGAATCTCAGCCCATCAGACATGAAGAGCCTCCTCTACCATATCCTCTCTGGCAAGGAGTTCGGGGTGGAAAAGAGCAGTGAGTCTCTCAACAGAGAACATCTCTGGGCAAATCTGGTTCCTGGTGCAGAGTGTGGTCAGATCTATGTGTCCCTGTCCTCCCTCATGTTCAGCACAGCTGCTTCTGCACTGCAGGGGTCCAGCAAGAAGCTGTTTTCTTCATAAGGATGGTGCTGAGTGATTTCTAGGGATTGAGCCCTGTGGCTGTTTGGGCTTTGCTTAGTTTGTCACTTGACCTGGTCAGGTCTGAACTGAAGCAGTACTGTGCTGTGCTCATGGATCTCTGATGCTGTTGGGATGGAGGGCAAGGGCACGCAGAGGTACCAGTGCCTGAGCAGTGACAAGGGACAGCCATGCCCTGAGCCATGGTGCCCACTCTAGACCTCTCTTCCCCTGCAGTGCGTTCAGTGGACTCATCTGTGGTCACCCCTGCCGTCTCCATCCGTGACGTAGAGACTGCTGGGGCCACCAGATCTGAGCGCTCTGGCCTTGTCAAGCTGAAAAGTGAAATCAGACAGGTGAGGGCAGGCAGTGCAGGCTGCTCACGACAGGTCTTGTGGGTGACAAACAGCTACAAACCAGGCAGAATTGATGGAAGAGTGGGAGAGATCTCAGCTGCTTCCAAGAGCTAATTTTGGCTCTGGTCCTGCCCTGGGGGGGAGAATTGGGGTGGATCAGTTAGTGGGTGGGGGTTGCTCTGGCAGTGCAAAGGGAGCACAGGGGTGCTTGAGAAGGTGCAGGGGTGGGGAGGACCATGCAGTGTCCCAGGTGTGGGTAGCATCTTGGTGGGCCACTTCCAACAGCAGAACCTTCATTTCCTTCTTCTCTTGCAGCAATTGAATAAACGTAGGCAGTCTATGCCTGGGAGTAAGGTGAAGCCCCCCTGGTCCTGCAGCCTCAGCTTTTGCCCCTCATGCCATGCACCAGGACAGCTTCCTCACATGCATGACTCAATGAGCTTCCCTCAGCTGCTGCAGCAATGAATTGCCTTTCCCTCTCTAAGCAGGCTCAGGGCTGCTCTGTTCAGGACAGGGAAGGAGGCTGGCTCCCTGGGAAGAGGTCAGCATGGCTTAACGTGCTGTGGGGGCCCAAGGCTGGCACTGCCACACAGGAGCTCCCCTTGGAGTAGGACCTGCTGTGTTTGGATTAACAGGAAGGAAGGCTTCCCTAAGCTGTGGGTGTACTGCCATTGCAGCCAGCTGGGAGCTGTGCTCCAGAGCTTCTGTGGCCAAATACATTCCATTACACTCACAAAATGCAGTGAGCAGGATGGCACAATGCTTCCAGTGCCATGACCAGTAGTGACCCTGCCAGACAGTTCACTGGATCCTGCCTGTAGCCTCCCCAGCTATTTCTTCTCTGGGGGAAGAGGCTTCTGGTCAGCTACAAATGCCAAGGACCTCCTCATGTGTCTGGTGTGTGTCCAGAGGAGTCCTGAGCTCTAGAAGGGGTCCTGTCCTCAGAGAGATGGGGCTTGCAGGGACCAGGCTGATGCAGCAGGTTTAGGGCCAACTTGCTGCAGTGTGAAACCTGATATTGCAGAGGGCCATCTGTAGGGCAGTGACATTGCTACTGGCCCTCCTGTCTGCCCAAGACTCAGTCCCCAGACTCATGCCAGCAGCCAGCAGAGCAGTAGCAGCTCTGCTCCTGTGTGCAGGCTGGCACAAACCCACCTCTGATGCACCCCACGAGCATGTGGGGCCCCTCAGCTGCTCCATGCCCTGGTACAATCCTTCCCCTCTGATGGTAACATGGGACTTTCCACAGCTTTCCTCTCAAAACTGCATCTCCAGCTAACTGCAGCCCTGGGATAACTGCCCCGTGACCTGAGCTTGATCTGTGCTGCTGCTGCTCCGCTTGCTGTGACTGCTGCCCTGCTCTGGCACGGTCTGATTTCCTTCTCTCCCTTTCTCCTTCAGCCCGTCAGTTTGCAGTCCAGGGACATCGACCTCAAGTCCTCTCTGGTAACCTGTGTTTGTTGGCTGCATGCATGGGGTCTGTCCTGTTTGTGACGGTGGGGAGGAGCTGTGCTCTGGGGGGGGTGCTGTAAGGTGGGCTTTGCTGGGGGCAGGGGGTGGGAGCTCTATCACACTGGAGAACCAGAAACTCTTGAGCAGTAGCAGGCTGCGCTCTTGTGGGGTGTTTAACTTTGCAGCAGTCTCTGTGGTCCTTGTTTTGTCTGCCCAGTCTGCTGGGCACACAGAGCTGCTGGACAAGGACTCCTTTTCAAGCATGCTGGAAGACCAGGGCAGTAAGGACAGCCGGCAGGGCCAGTGGCAGCGGAGGCGGCGGCTGGACGGGGCCCTCAACCGTGTCCCTGTGGGCTTCTACCAGAAGGTCTGGAAGGTCCTGCAGAAGGTGAGCTGGATGTCCAGCTGGCGCCTCTCCTGTGGTCCCAGGCACCAGCTTTGCCAGGGGTACTTAGACACTCGGGGCTGGTCCCTGATATTGTGTAGATATGTGCTTCATGGACAAGGCCTGCAGCTGGCCCTGGAAAGCTGGGGAAGACCTGGAACTGCCTTGAAGTCATGTAGGACCTAACTCATCCTGTGCCTTGCAGAGGGGAGCATTAGCCAGACAGGGGCAGGGCTGGAGCCACAGCTGAAGGAGGTCCAGGCACACCTCATGCTCAGCATGCTGAGCCAGGGAGCAGAGCCCTGTGCAGGGGGGCTCCAGTTGATGCTGAAATGATGGGAAAGGAGTGATGCTGTGCAGGGTCAGGAGGCAGAGCTGGGGTGTGTAGGCAGCTCACACCAGTGCTCAAGTGGGAGGGAGTTGGTGGGCTGGACCTATGTGTCTTAGCACGATGCTTCTCCAAGCCATAACCACGATCTATCTTTCTTGTTCTGCAGTGCCATGGCCTCTCTGTGGAGGGCTTTGTTCTTCCCTCCTCAACAACCAGAGAGGTAGGAGGTTCATGTGAAGGGGAAACGGGGCATGCAGGTTGTTGGGTGCTGGGTTGCCCTGGGTGAGTGCCCAGCATAGCTCAGGACTTGTGCTGGTGATGAAGTGCTCTCAGTACACTTCTTTCCACATCCTCACAGATGACCCCAGGGGAAATGAAGTTTGCTGCGCATGTGGAGTCTGTCCTCAACCGCGTGCCCCAGCCAGAGTACAGGCAGCTTCTGGTGGAAGCTATCTTGGTGCTCACCATGCTGGTGGACATGGAGGTGCACACCATCGGTGGCATCATACCTGTGGAAAAGATCTTGCACAGAGCCAACGACCTCTTCTATGAGGAGCAGGTAAGGGCCAAGCCTCACCCAGTGCTGCTGGCTGCGTTCCCCACAGCTGCACAGGGCTCACCCACCTGAGCAGGAGGGCCCTGCCCCTTGTCCCTGTTGCATTCATGGGTCACAGCAAAGCTGTAGTGTCCTCCTCCCGCTGCTCATTGTCAACTTGTCACACCTGTGAGTGCAACAGAGGGTGCTTGGGGTGGAAGCTGGTGAGGGGGTTGCTCTTATTCTCATGTCGGCTTTCTCCTTCCCTGTCCAAAATCCAGAAAGCCCTGGGCGCTGACGACCAGATGTTGGAGAGGGATCCTTCGACAGGCATCTGCATCCTGCTGTACGACAGTGCCCCGAGCGGCCGCTTTGGCACCATGACCTACCTGTCCAAGTCGGTGGCCTTGTACGTGTACGACTTCCTGCCCACAGACAGCTGCTCCATGCAGTAGCTCTCGCAGCTCCTCGCTGGGCTGCAGATGCTGCGGGGAGGGTTGTTTCGTACAGCTTGTAAAGAGGAACACTAGGTTAGTTTGCAGGCAGCCTGCTTGGCCATCTCTCCTCCCAGCCCTGGCCTCTCAGTGGGTGAGCGGCCCTCTGAGGAGCCCCGCAGGAGGCACGTGTCCTAAAGTGACCTGTGCCTATGTGGCCTGAGGAGCAGGGGAAAGGCTGAGCTTTGAAGCCTGCTTGTGTTAAAAGTGTCTGCCTGCATGGCTCCTCCTGAGCCATCACCCCCAGAGGGACCTCTGTTTGAGGCAGTTGACCAGACCTGCGTGCTCAGCACTGCAGTGCTCCATGACCAGCTCATACTCTCCCTGCCTCCAGCAGGTTTGCAGTTTTTAACTGTGTTTTAACTGTGCTGCTTTTTATTCCAATCTGCAGGATTTATACTAGTGTAGGCTGGAGCTCTTGCTCTTCCTGCTGCTGCTGGAATAGTTTTGCTAGAGAAATAGGGGATGATGCCTGAGCCTCTGTCCCAGCACGCCCAAAGTCAAAATGGTCCAGCCCAGCCACAGCTGTGCTGCTTGGAAGTAGGCAGCCCATCATCCTTCCCTCGGGGATCCTGTGTGCAGAGCTGGGGAGGTTGTGGTAGCCAGGATCCCTGTTGCCACCAAGATGTGAGGACAGGGCTTCTGGCTGGCTGGGGCATGCTGGTGGCAGCCCCTCTGTGCCATATACTTGTCCCTGGCAGCAGTGCTGGTGGCCAGGTCGCAGGTTCCTGAGTTCACACGTGCCTTTTGAAGCACCTCTGAGCTGGCTGCTTGGTGTTAGCTGTGCAATCACAGCCGTGCCCTTAACGCTCAGCTCTGGCCTTGGCCCCAGCTCCCACAGCCTGGCACAGGGAGGGGTGGGGACACAGAGGGTGCCTGCTCCACTCTATCCTGCAGGTGCAGCTCTGAGCAAAGGTCCCTTTCCCCTTTGGGGAAGGTGGATCCTGTCCAACACCAGAGTGCCTGGGGCTGTACAGGCTGTGCTGTTATAGAAAAATCTGAAATCGTGGCAGTGACACCAGCCACCAAGTCATATATTTAACAGACTAGGTCTGTCTCTTCCAATGACCCTGCCCACAACTGGAGGGACAGAGGAAAGAACCTGTATTTCAGAATCACTTACCAACCATCCCCATGCCCTGAAGGCTCTTGATTGCCCTTGGACTACGTGTTGTGGCTTCATTGCCGACCACGTGGAAGGCCAGCAGTGGGTAAAAGTCCGAGGGCTGAACCAGGCTGGGAAGTTTCCTAGTGCTGCCCTTAACCTGGGCCTCAGGGAGGCAGCAGACTTCCCTGAGAGGACTGTCTGTGTGGCATATTGGACCGTTTGTGCCCCTCAGAAAGCAGTCACCTGCAGCTCTCACCCATCTTTCTTGTAGAGGTTGCCATGGTCTGGGGGGTATCACAGCCATGGCAACACCTCTGGTGTAGGTGGACTAACATGCACCTCATCCATTGCCTGGCCTTCCAGAGCCAGAGCTTCATACCTGCTATACAGAGTCACAGGGAGAGGCAACGTGGGCAAGGAGGGGATTTGCCTCCACCCACTCCTTTCCTCTATTCCTGCCTTCACCTGGCAGGGGAGGATGCAGGATCTGCTTGAACCTGTGTATTTTCGGGTGGCTGTTCCTGTTTCTGCCAGGGAGGGCAGAGCCTGGTTCTACTAGCCTCTCTCTCGGACTCCCTTCTGCTCCTTAACCTTTCTACGTCCTCATAGCTCAGCCTCAAGGCTGAACAGATCACTGTCCCCTTGGTCACACGGAACACAGCTTTTCTCGCCAATGCCATCGTTCCCAGGGAAAGGGACTGGCACTCCCTGCACCCAGAGGCCTGGATGGCTGCATGTTCTCCTGGGAGCTCTGCCAGGGTGGCCACGTCCACTGTGGCAAGCACAGAGGACGTGGTCTGTGCCAGGTGGATGCCCCAGCAGACCATCATCCTTCTGAGAGGGCGATGGTCACCAGCTCAACTTGCCTCTTGAGCTGGGAGGGTGACAGTGCCTGTGCCATGTGCCAACACCGTGCTCTGCCCGCGCTGCCCGCCGCGCTCCCCGGGGTGGCCCCAGAGCCAGATGTTTTCCTGTGTGTGTTTTTGATCTCCAGAGGTTGGTTTGGCCTCAAAGCCGGAGGGCGGAGGGTGTCTCTCGAGGCTGCGGCTGTTGTGTATGTGCTGCTGATCCCTCCCACCGTGACCCCTGCCCCGGGCAGAGGAGCCTTGATAGGGCCGAGCCCCAGCGCGGCTCCTCCTCCGGCTCGGGGGGGCCCGGTGGGAGCTGCCGGGGCTCGGCGGGGCTCGGGCCCTCCCAAGCCGGGCGGGCGGTGCGTGCAGGGCTCAGTCCTTTTCTAATGACAATTACTATTTAGATATTATTTTTAGATAATAGACACCACCCCGAGCCGCGTGGGGGCCCCAATAAAAACGTCTCTAACAGCGTGTGCGGCCTGTCCTTGCCCGGCCTGGCTGGGAGGGAGGGAGGGCGGCGGGGCGGGCCTACAGCTCCCGGCGAGCCGCGGGGCCGGAACCGCCCGTGCTTCTGCGCCCCGGCCCCGGCCGTGTGGGCCTCGATGGCGGCGGCGCCGCCGGTCTACGTGTACAGCCCGGAGTACGTGGAGCTCTGCGACTCCCTCTGCAAAGTGCCCAAGCGGGTCAGCGCCGCGCCGGGGGTGGCGGGGCGGGAGGGAGCGGGGAACGGGCGGCCCCGGCGGGAGGAGTGTGCGGTCAGAGTGTGGGGGGGGACACCCGTCTGCGCCCTCACACCGCCCCTGGCAGCGCCGTGACAGCGACACTGAAGCGCTGCGCTTCCCTTCCCCGGCTGTGCCTCTGCCCGGGACACCGGGAGGCCCATCACACACCCCCGGGATGCCCTGCCCGGCTCCAGCCGTGCCGGGAGAGCCGCTGCTGGAGGGAGTCATAGTCACAGCTCGGCTGCGAGTCCTTCTTTGGGCCCCCCACCCCCATGCCCCCGGTTGCTGCCCTTGTGTCTCCTGCTCTCACAGATGTACTCTTCTCTTTAGGCCAGCATGGTGCATTCGTTGATTGAGGCGTATTGCCTGCTCGACCAGATGAAGTAAGTGCTCCCGTTTTCTGTGAAGGGATGTTTTCTTCTCCGCTGAGGTTTGGAAGGTGCTGAGTAACTTCAGGTTTCACGCTGTCCCTGCTGGCAGGGAGCCCCCACAGTGTGTATTTCTAAGGATCTAAGGAAAATGCTTGTTTTGCTACGTGGACACGGTTACGGTGGAAGGTGTAATTTGTGGTTACTGTCCTGGTCTGGTGGAGCACAGATTTTTCTCGTGCCTTCTCTGCAGAGCGTCTGTCACCCCCAGGCTTGGGGCTCGGAGCAGGGTGACAACCTTGGTGCTGCTCCAGATCCACTGCTCAGTCAGCGCTGATACAGAGAGGGACCTTGTTGTTTTGCTGTGTCGTGATTGATCTGGGAGACCTCTTCTGAGGTCTTGGGGCTGTTCAGGAGAGAAGACAAGGTGAAACCTGGGGCAGAAGAGTGAGATCCCTCCTGCTTCATTTGGCTTTTGACACTGGAGCATATGAAGGGAATAAAAGGCTTAGCTCAGCCTCTCCTATGTTCTTAAAAAAAAAATCCCATGCTCCAGTTCAGCAGGGCCAGAAAGTCCTATTGGGACTTCTTTTTTAAAAGAATTTTTTTTTCTAGCCATTTTGCAGAGTGTGCTTGGTACCTGGCTGCAGGTGCCATCATCTAGCAGACCTGAAAGGCTGTTTGCCTTGGCAGGGACTGGGAAATGCCTGGCACTGGGACCAGCCTAGAGCTGGGAGTTTCCTGTGGTCTTCCCATTCTTTCCTATACTGTGCTGCCCATGTGTGCCCCCAGTGTCTGAGATTTGGAGAGGGTTCAGTGTGTTGCAGGATTTGTTTAAGCAGACTGCAAAGCACCCAAACCCAGGAAGGTGCTGGGAACAGCAATGGTCTCTGCTTTGATGCAGGTGTAGGTCAGAGCACTTGAGAAGTGCTGTCCAGCTCCTGACCTGGCAGGGTGGGGTCCTGCTGCAGCAGCTGGGACTGGACTTTTCCCTCTATTAGTGCCTCTGTGTGTAACCAGAATGTTGGATCCATTGGGCATTGCTCATACTGGGAGAACATGCAGAAAAGGGGGAAAAACACTTGAAGCAAAATAGGAAGGTTAGTGCAGGCAGCACCTGTAGGTGTTCTTGCCTGGGCTGGGCATAGCAGGCAGTGCCACACTGGAGTCAAGGCCAGCTCAGCTGGATGTTTGCTCACTGGAGTGGCAGTCTGGTGCGAGAGAAAGGGGGATTTTTGTTTGCTTTTACCACAGTAACTGCCAAAAGAAGGCTTCTAGGTTTAAGGCTAAAGCTGAGCATTCCAGCCAAACCCTAGGCCCTCTTGTCCTGACATGCTCCCTTCCTCCTCTCTGCCTAGGATAGTCAAGCCAAAAGTGGCCTCCATGGAGGAGATGGCAAGTTTCCACACAGATGCTTACCTGCAGCACCTGCAGAAGGTCAGTGAGGAGGGGGATGATGACCATCCGGAGTCTGTGGAGTATGGACTGGGTAAGGACGTGTGTCTTCAGCGAGAGCTTAGCTGAGTGTCAGGACCAGGATGCTTTTTTTGCTGCAGCTGCAGTTAGAGTGGCGAGCTCAGGAGTGGGTCCCTTCTATGGGGTCAGCCCTTCAGAAACAAGCTGCCCCAGCATGGGTTCCTTTCCGTGGAACCAGTCCTTCAGGAACTGCTCCAGTGTGGGTCCCTTTCCATGGGGTCAGTCCGTCAGGAATAAGCTGTTCCAGCATGGGTCCCCTGCAGAGTCACAGGTCCTGTCAGCAAACCTGCTGCAGCGTGGGTCCCTTCCATGGAGTTACAGCTTCGTTCAGGCACACTCCCCTGCTTCTGGGACATAGGGTCCTCCAGGGGCTGCAGGGCCATCTCTGCTCCATCGTGGACCTCCATGGGCTGCAGGGGCACAGCTGCCTCATTGTGGTCTGTACCATGGGCTGCAGGAGCTCCAGTGCCTGGAGCACCTCCTGCCTCTCCTTTCCTGCTGACTTTGGGGCCTGCAGGGTAGTTTCTTTCACAGGCTCTCACTTCTCTCCCAGGTGCTGCACCATGGTTTTTGCCCTTTGTTTGATATGTTCTCCCACAGGCTCTGCCCGCAGTGCTCATGGGCTCAGCCTTGCCCAGAGGCAGGTCTGTCCTGGAGTTCTGTCCAACATGGGGGCAGCTCCTGGTGGCTGCTCACAGAAGCCACCCCTGAAGCCCCCTCACTGTGAACACCTTACCACGCAAACCCACCACAACTTTATTCCTACTCAGGCCCCCTGAATCTGCTGTGTGAGTCCAAAGCTGACAGCTGATGTGAGGGTTCGT